GAACTCAATCTGACCACACTGGGAATGATAATAAAAATCGTTTCTATAAATACATTAGCAAGGAAAACAGGCCCAAGGAAAATCTCCATCCTTTTTTGGATGTAAAGAGGAAAAGGCAGAGGTATTTAATGCCTTCCTTGCCTCAGTCTTCAGCAGAAAAACTAGGTATTTTCAAGGCAAGCAGCCTCCTGAGCTGGAAGACAGAGCCAGGGAACAGAACAGACTCCCTGTAACCCAAGAAAAAATAGTGATCTATTGTCCCACTCAGATTCTCAGAGGGCACTGGATGGGGTTCATCTAGGGGTACTGAAGGAGCTGCTGGAAGAGTTTGCTAAAATGTTCTCCATGATTTATCGGCTAAACAGACCGATGATAACTGTCCAGACAGTGGGAGCTTGCCCAGTGTGATGCCCATCTGCAAGAAGGACCTGAAGGATGATTTGGGAAACTACAGGCCTGTCAGCCTGACCTCAGTGCCAGGGAAAATTATGGAACTGATCATCTTGAGTGCCACCATGCAGCACTTACAAGACAAGCAAGGGATCAGCAGCCAGCAGGGATTTAGAAAAGGCAGGTCCTGCCTGACCAACTTGATCTCCTTTTATGACCAGGTGACCTGTCTAGTGGACGAAGGAAATGCTGTTTGTCTACCTGGACTTCAGTAAAACCTTTGATACTGTCTCCCACAACATTCTCCTGGAAAAGCTGTCAGGTCATGGCTTGGACAGGTGCACTTTCTGTTGGGTCAAAAACTGGCTGGATGGCTGGGTCCAAAGTGTGGTGGTGAATGTGGCTGGTTCCATATCCAGTTGCTGGCCAGTCACTAGTGGGGTTCCCCAAGGCGCAGTATTGAGACCAGTCCTGTTTAACATTTTTATCAATGGTTTGGATTGAGTTACCCCCAGAAAGTCTGCAGACAACAACAAGGTGGGTTGGAGTGTTGATCTACTAGGAGGCTGGAAGGCTCTGCAGAGCCTTCTACAGGCTGGATCAATGGGCCAAGACCAATGGTATTACATTCAATAAAGCCAAGTGTCAGGCACACCTTGCCCACAACAACCCCAGACAGCCTTTCAGGCTTGGGTCAGAATGGCTGGAAAGCAGCCCAGCAAAAAGATCCTGGGGATGCTGGTTGACAGCTGGTTGAACATGGGCCAGCAGTGCCCAGATGGCCAGGAAGGCCAATGGCAGCCTGTATGAGCAATAGTGCAGCCAGCAAGGCCAGGGAAGTGATCATCCCCTTTACTCAGCACTGGTGAAGCCACACCTCGAGTTCTGGCACTCTGACTCCAACAGAGAAATTGAGGTTCTGGAGCATGCCCATCCCAGAGAGGGCCAGTGGAGCTGGTGAAAGGTCTGAATGAGCAGCTGAGAGAGCTTTCATTGTTTAGCCTGGAAAAAAGGAGGCTCAGGGAGGACCTTATCACTCTACAGCTACAATGACAGGAGGTTGTAGCAAGGTGAGGGTCTGCCTCTCCCCCAGACAACTGGTGAAAGGACAAGAGGAAATGGCCTCAAGCTGTGCTAGAGGAGGTTCAGATTGGACATTAATTTTTCCACTGTAAGGGTGATGAAGTATTGGAACAGGTTGCTTAGGGAGATGTTGAGGTCACCACCCCTGGCAGTGTTCAAGGAACAATTTCACATGGCGCTTAGTGCTATGGTCTCTTTGATGTGGTGGTGTTCAGTCAAAGGTTGAACTCAGCAATCTTGGAGATCCTTTCCAGCCCTAATTATTCTTTGTTAATAAATACTTGCTTCTAACACATAGGCTGGTGAAGCAAGCACAAGATATTGGCCAACTAATAGTGTTTGCTCTTATGCTCTGCTAAACAGTAGAAAATAAACCAAAATTGGACCCTAGTATTGGATGTTCTGCATTTTTTGTCTACTTGAAAACAGCCTGCAGTATTTACAAGAGAATAAAGAACATGTTCTGTGAGTAAGGTCTGAGCTTTGTTGCTTTGTGTGTTAATAAAACGCTCTTCAAACACAGCTTGTGTAAGAAGGAACAGAGAAATTGTGAGGCAGGAAATAAATACAAAGATACCATGCTCTTTACTCATTTTCAGGGATTTTAATTTAGAACACTTTTCCATCCCCCAGGTTAATATCACCTTTTTCAAAATGGGATGGTGAGGTACATTATCAGAAGAAAGCTTAAAGCATCATCCAGATTCACTCAGATAAAAAGTCCAGATCTTTATTTTTCCCCCCTCTGCTTTTGAGCCTATTGGAAACTTCATCTACTGATGACGACATATGAGGTGGAGTTTGATTTCTGATCTGTGTTGTTTTCTCCTAAATATCGTCATCCTTGATGTGGGTATTTTAGTTATCTTTTTTGTTCATTTTTTTACCTGGATTTGCAACAGCTCTTCAGGGAAGTGCATGTAACATTTTGGGGAAGACAATTTTTGATATATTCATGAACTCCTGCAACAAATAGATTTTCAGTTCCAGCAGTGACTCATTTGAAGTAGTTACTGCAGGCAACAGTGGCTGAATAAACTGCATGTGTAACCACCTGCTTTTTTGGATGATTTTTAGTAATGCACTACAGATGACTCATTTCTTCTGGCTTTGCTGCCTGACATCATCCTTGCTTCCTAATTTCTTTTTTTCTTTCCTTTCCTCCTCCCTCTTTCTACCTTTTAAATATTTTCCTTTTTTCAGAGTCCTCTACTGTAAAAACATAGAGGAGAGTACCCATGACAAATGCAGATTGTGTAAGCTTCTTCATTTAGATTGTTATTTAAAGTTCAACTTTCATGATTAGTCAAATGAATCAAAAAGATAATTGAGAGAGAGATTATGTGACACAGACATTAGTCACTACTGCTGATAGTTGGGTATGTGATTTTGCATCACCTATACAAAATAGGTTGGTACCAAGCTGTTATTCACTGGACATTTAAAACATTTGACTTGGAGTGAATTTTCTTTTTAAACTTTCTTCTACACTTTTCATCTTTCCATTTGTTTTTATACCTCTCGGTGCCTTGAAAAAGGTGTATGGAGAAGGTCACCCATTTTTTTAAACCTCATTCCTTGCAGCTTAGTCTGTTGCCATGTGGTGCTTAGTCACTGAGTGACAATGGTATTGCTCTCACCCCCAAACTCTCCTATTCCATTTAACTTATCAGTGTCTCTGAAGAGTTTTGTGCCTTTCTGGTCTGAGGGATAATGCATGATGCACCGCTGTAGTTTTGCACACCTGACTTCTCCTGGAGTTAATGAGATTCTGAAATGCTGGATTCAGAACTTCTAAAATCTGTTTGAGATCACAAGCTTCAGTCCTCTGCATGATGGAAGGTTTTGCAATTTCCTTTTAAATTTTTTGTCTTCCTAGGTTTCAGTCCTGTTAACAAATGCCTATCACTACAGAACCACTAATCTTGAGTTCTAGGCTTTCACTGATGACAAGCTGCTTTTTTCCTGGGCTGTAACAATGGTTCTTCTCCAGGGAAATAAACTTGATAGGCATCCTGCCCTGTGTTTCTTGACTGGAGCACACGGTGCAATTACTGTTGCACAGCTTTTGTCCAATGTCAAGCTTGTAACCACACATAAGTTCTAAAAATGTGGGGTTCTCTCATTTCCAGGTACTTGTAAGTGAAGGTACAGTTTCTTGTTATTAATGATTGGGGTTTTTTTAATAGGGAACCTTGTGGCAATGATGCAGAACATATATCAAAGCAAACTTACAAAACCTGGGTAGGAAAAGCAAGTCCAGTTTAATATTGTTATCTTTTCCAGTCTTTTGGTCTTTTCTATTGGGGGAGAGGGGAGCTATATGTGCCTTCCACTTTGCTTGGTGACTAAACTGAGGCTTTAAACAGTATTTTGATTAAAGAAAAATTTTCTTATATGTCTGAGTGCAGGTGATCATGCATGTATGCTTCCAGCCTAGTGGGGGCCTATTTTTGTTCCTGTTGATACTAAGGAATCTGGGACACTGAGAAATATCCATAGCACACATTCTGACTTAGTCCTTGGCCTTTATAAACAGCTTGCAGAAACTTTTCTGGGCATCTTAATACTCAGAGGTCATACATTAATTAGAAAACCTCATCCTTTAAACTGAAGAGGCCTATAGGAGTGCCCTAACCACTGTCCAATCCCTTAACTTCACAGCTGTCCCTGAAATTGGTCTGGATGCTCTCTTGTGTAACATATTTCAGTCCAGCTAGGCTGGAAAAAGGCCTGAATCTGCAGCTCACACTGCCTGCAGGAATGCTCTGTATGTGAAGCCTCCGAAAGCTTCATTTCTATTCAATAGATTCTATACTATGCAAAGAAACACATTTTTCTTTTTAAAAAGCACATATTAAAGAAATCAGTCCTACTCAATTACAAAGCTATCCAAAGCAGATAACTGAGTACTCTGGACAAATACAGACATCCACCTCGCAGTCTTCATACTGTTGAGACTTATACAATGTAAGTAGAATAAGGAGAAAGGATAGGGAGTTGACAGTTTCCTGTTTAGGGCTTGTTACTTTTTTTAAAAAAAATTTACTTGACGTATGGCAGCCTCAGGTTCTCTGGTGGACCTGTGGATCAGCATGCTGGCACCTACAAATGCACTGACTGACTACCTGGGAAATCCTAATTAGCTGTTTTCAGTCTGCCCTGTTGTGATAGTCGATAGAGCATTTAGCATAGGATTTGAAAGGAATAAAATATGTAAGGTTATTCAGGAACCATTCAACCACTAAAATATATATATCAAATACCTTCAAAAATCTTGAAAAAAAATTACATAGTGTGCATGGTTAATTGAATCTTTTTCTTCCCACAAGAATACACTGATTTTTTTGACACAATGATCACAGCTACTCATAGAACTCTGAAAATCAGTTTGATAATTTACCCAAGCATATATTAAATGGCAAAAAATACACCACTGCAAAGTATGTGGTGGCTTGCCACCAATGGAAATGACTCAGCTAGCTTGTTTAAAGAATGATATTTTAATTGCTTTGTAGATCACAAACCTGCCAGCCTTGCAATTTACACTGCTGAAGAACAAGACGACATCTCTCCTTGGCACTCAACTTCTTCTTGTCTCCTGCTGCTGTATCAGCCAAATCTTTATACCTAGAAAAATCAGCAGAAGTAAAGTTACTCTAATGTTGGCCTGGTTGATGACTTTGTAGAAATTGTCAGTTTTCCTTTGACTCTCAAATCTTTGATATCCAAACTGGAAGCTTGGGATTCTGATCAGGGTGAAGAAAACAAGAAGGCAAATCACTCAAAATCTTGTATATTGTTAGACATGACCTTGGTTAATAACAAGTGATGCCTAAAACCCAAATTTTGCTTCTTGTCTGTTCTTTGGATGCCTCACTGAAAATCAATGCCAAAGGAATGAAAAGCTTCCCCTGCAACTGAACTGGGTCATTGAAAGGAGGAAAATATGTTTTCAGTATGTGTCATACAACTTACGCTTCTTAAGGCGTAACTCACAGAAAGAGACATTGACAGAAATTATTTTCATCAATCTGAGATAAATTTTCATTTTGAACAGAAAGTCATGTAGCAAAGAGACTTCCAAGAACTGGATCAGTTTTCAGTACTGGAAAGTAGTTCAAGAGGAGACCTGACTGAAGCACTGAGTACCTTCAAAGACAGAAAATGTTGGATATTAAAGGGCTCTTTGATGTACCAGATAAAAATATCTAGGGAGGAAACTTAAGTAATACAAAGTCCAATAAAGTACAAAATTCAAGGTTTATTATGGACTTATTAAATTAATTGTAACTTATTGGTAAAGAAATGGAATTTTATACATCTTAATGCTACATAATATTACTATACTTTCTTGGAGGTACTCCTTTGTCTAGATCTGACTGCATGTAATGAATCAGAATGCTTTTCCATTACAAAAATCCAGGCTTTGAAAGGGATATACACTTTGCAAACATGTCACTTTTGATTAAAATCCCAGTGAAATTGATAAATTTTGAAGTTTGCAAGCTAATTACATTTCCTGACATTTTATTTATTTATTTATTTATTTAACAGCTGAATTCACCCAAATCTCTCCTTCAAGCCAAAACTATGCTGATTTGTTGTCTTTCACACAACATGGTTGCCAAGGCTGCAGTGCTGGAATGACTCCAGGGCCCTCAATTGTACCCAAAGCTGTGGCAAGCCTGGAGCAACATCTGCAGGTAAACTACTACAGAACCAAATTTCATCTACACTTCTGTTTTCCTGTAGCTGCACAGACCCTTGGGTTCCTCAGCTCCTACAGTCTGGAAATATTCTCTTGTCTGAGAGCAGTCCTGCTGAGGACCCCATGGCTAAGTCCACGTTAGTAAATGGAAAGTGAGAGGGACTGCTTCTCTGGCATAGAAACCATCTGGCAAAACCCTAGCCTGATGATTTATTTATGCATTTAATATTATGCAATCTGTTCTGTTCTATTAGGCTCTGTCCCCTTCCAACAGAGAGTAACCCAGAGTGCAACCATGTCTAAGCTGCCTTCTTTGACAGGTCACCAGCCTGTCCTAGTTCCCAAGTTGTGCCCAGGAACCGTTTGCAGGAATGATGGTAAGAAGGGTCCAAATGCTCACCACAGATCCTTCTATTTAGTCTCACACTCCAGATTAGCATTAGAAAACTGGGGATAGCACCTTCCCAATATTCCACTAGCTGCACGGTCACAAGGACATTTATTTTGCAGCTTTCTATTAAGGCCGGGGTCACCTTGTTTCCTTACTTGTATCAACAGTTTTTTCTTAGAAGTCATGGGAAATCAGAGGTGTTAAAGAAACAGCTGCTGGAAAGCTTAGCAACTGCTGACTGAAGATTCATGACTAAGCATTGACTCACAATGCATGAAGAAGTAACTGCAAAAGTGGTCAGCCTGAAATCTCTTACAGCAGAAACCCAAAGAAACATATTTCTCTCTTGAAAAAAAGACAAACTAAAATTTAAAAGGTTGAAGTTCTACATTTGGCTCAAGTTTTATTTAAAGACATGCAAATGAAAGAATTCAAGGATAGCCAAATATTCCTTACAATCTATATTATACAGAATGCCAGACAAAAATGATCCACCATTTTCATCCAGCTTTTAAAGTCTCTGAAATTCCATCACATTATCCTGGAAGTCTAATCACAGTTCACAGTCCTCTTCTATCTGTTAAAGCAAGCTCTAGCTTAGAAAAGGAGGATGGCTTATGGTAATAGAGAAAGAGGAAGCTATGGAAATTTAAGTCTGCCATAAACTTCCTCTGTGAACACAGCAGGACATTTGGAAGACAATCTACTTTCCCTATGTTAGACACTGAAAAGCTGTGCTCCTAGCCTGAGTTAGTCACCTTGTTCTCAAAACAGTCTGGGAAGGCAGGTATTTTCCACAGGGTGACATGTTCTATGCATTCTAGATGCTCTTGAAAAAATGAGAAGACATTGCCCTCTGGAGGTGCCTTTCTCCACTGGCCACAGATGGACTCTGAGGAGAAGTCCAGACTGGATGGTTTCATTTGGGTGCCTGAGAGGAAACTCACCTTTATGCATACTTGTCTGACTGAGGTACTCATCCTGCAGAATAACTAACAGAGGGTCTAAGAGACCTTCCTTATTTTCCTGTCACTGGTCCAAATATCCTGGTTAAGCACCCCAAAATTAGAAAGTACCTTTATGTCCTGTGTAACCATCTGTTACCAACCATTTTCATCTTGTATAAAGATAGAAAGAACAAAACAACAAAGTTTGCAGCTATTTTTCAACCACAACAGTGCCCCAATTTGGCTCTCAGTCCAGTTGTGCATATACCCATGTCAATGCCAGGGAATTAATGGAAGTTCCTGAATGGATGGGACAAGAGGACTACACCTGTTGGTGGGAGCCCAGATTTGTTCTAGACAGAAGGGATGGTTCAACCATAAACTTACATAATTTCTTCTGTACTTAGTTTTAAATGAGTGAAAAAACAAAACCCTTTTTCTTTAAACTGACAATAAGCTAAAATATAAAGGAAGAAATAAAAACTTACATGTGTGACATTATTATCAAAATACAAAATATTTTTTTGGGTGTCAGTTACTTTTTTACTGTGGATTGACCTTGTGTTTCAATGTAGACACAATAATTCAATATCATCCTAAATTTAATCATTCTCAAGATGAGCAAAATAACTTATTCTTTTCAGAATTTATTCTATCACAGAAATTATTAATAAGAATACTGAAATTACAGTGCAGGTTTGTATAAATAAACTTGAATTACTTGCAAGAATGGGGCTTGCTTCTGGAAAAATGCAGACAGGAGAGTCTTAGAAACTTTCCCTTACAGAGAATTCTTCCCCTAGCACTCCTGCCTTAGTTTACTCTGAAGTGAATGAACACACCCAATTAAGTACCAGGCTTCTTGCCACCTGACAGGTCACACATTTTGCCCCCACTAGATAATGCAGAATGTATACAGAGGATCCTAAGGAATTCAGAAAGCATACTCAGTGCTACCTTGCTAAAAAAAGTGAAATATATTTCAGCTAAACTTGGTTTGACAAGTCACTTGCCTAGACTTTCTTAAGATTCAGTAGAATAGAGTATTCTGGTGTCATATTCCTCACTGTAATACTGGTGTTTGCAATAGCTCATATGAACTGTGCACTGTAAGACCATCACGTCTTTCCACTGAGTATAAGCATGCTCTTGCCTCCAGCCTGGACATCTAATATCAGACAAAGTGAATCTCCTTCATAGCCAGGAAGCAAAAAAAAAAAACCCATTATTTCATGGCTAGCCAGAGCAACTCATTCACTAAGGGATCCAAAATAAAATACAAAACAGGGAGGTCTAAAGGATTAATTTGAATCAACACAACTCCACTGCTATGCCAAGACTGATGTACTGTTGATTAGGAAGGAAATTCAAAACCTGTTCTAGTTACAAGTTGAGACAGTGAACACAATTATCAGGGTGAAGGAGAGTCTCCCCAGCACCATCCACATGACATCAGTGTGAGAGAAGATCCATTTTCCCCAGCTTTTTCCTTTAGCACCCTCCTTGTCCTAACTTGTCATTTTCAGAAGCATAAACAGAAGAAAGACATTCTGGCTAGACAGGCTCGCACTGTGAGCATGTACAGACTGGCCAGGATTCTCTGGTGTTGCACAAATGTGCTCTGACCTCTTCCTTTGCTTCTGAAAGATGTGCTCTATCAGGGAAATTTTTTGTTTGTTTGGAGTAGAAACTGCTGCCAATAGCTTGTGAATAGGGAAAACTCGATTCTCCTGGGTCTTCACAGATAAGGATGTTATCTAATCATTTTCTCCCTCACCTCCCTAAGTGCACAGCTGACAAGATCCAGCAGGCTGTTTTTCCCCAAGACAGAATATTCTGCAGTTCAGGTTGTGGCACAGTAACCCACAGCAATATTCTAAGGCTCAGCACGCTCTTTGATTTACACAGAGTGTGCACAAATGGGCTGCAGGGCTGTACTCCCAGTTCTGTATGCACAGCAAATCTTTAAGCATTGGAATAAACATGACTCAATTTCAATAGCACAACGTGACAGAAGACACTAAAGGAAAAACACATAGCAAGTACAAAGGGCAGAAAAACAAGCAGCTCCAAATCAATAGCTTGATAAAAGATGTCTTTGAACTGGAGCCACAGAACTACTTTTATTGGTTGGTTGTTTTGCTGCTCTTATTCTCAGGTCTCTCTCTTGCCTAATTAAGAAAGAAACACAAAAAATAATAAAGTTAGAGGTAGCTACTGACTGCAATCCAATGTTCTCACTAAGAGGATAGTTTCTAATTCCACAAGTCATATCTTTTCTGAAGGAAGATCCTTCTTTCCATGTATTTGTCTTGCTGCTTAAAAAATAAAAATCACATTTGGCTGGCATGTAACTGCTTTAAAAGAGTGATAAGTTATGTACTTTTAAGTTCTAAATATCCAAACACAACTTATGTAAGGAAAAATGAGTGACACACTTGTCAGTATAATTCATTATCTTGTAGCTTAATTTTCTCTTTTTTTGCTTACTACAATGTACTCTGTTTGCCAATGTAAACTGGTATGACTTAAAAAGATCTATTCAAAAGATAGTGAATAAAAGGCAGCAATCAAAATTAAA